CATAAGCATAGATTCTGTGACTGGTTGTCCCATCAAACTAAGTTGATTCTGTAGGTTTTGCAATTTGGTAATATGCGTCGACATATCGTCAGCCGAGTCCTTTACGTAACTGAAAAATTTATGTTGTATTAAATGTATACTCGCCTCGTTTTTCTGCTCATAGACAGCGAGTAATTTTGTCCACATTTCATACGATGTTTTACAGTTAATCAGGTATTGCATTGGACCGTTGTCAACCGATGTTACTATCAGTTTTTGGCATTTGGAGTCAGCACGTTGCCAATTTAATAGATCCTCTTTATATCTTTTCTGGGCGTCAGCTTCTTTGCTTGTTAGCACTGGTTTTGTATACTCTCCTGTAATTAAACTACCCAACTCATATGAAGTTAGTATTACCTTCATCTGAAATTTCCAAAGTGTCCAACCTTCAATATTGCATAGCTTGGCAATCTTTATTGATTCTTCCATATCAATAGATGACGTACTTGTATAGTACTCTTGAACGACTTTGATAAATGTATATCCAATATACACTTCGTCAGGTGCTGCTTAATTACTATAATTCACTTACTTGGTGATCTTAAAAAAAATTGTGTTCTTCAAATACTTGACTCTCGGTGTCCGGTGTGCCTTTGACTGTATGTCTGAGTGTCTGGGCCCATAACCTGTTGTAATACTATACATAAATATAGTATCAGAGTGCGAGTAGTAGTAGATGATAATCAAGTATTTAACACAAATAATGTTATTACAATAATAGATATATTATACATAGAATATATACAACACAGTGAAACAATAATACACTAGTAATATGTATAAACTGAATAGAAATACTGAGCCCCGAGCCCTTAGATCAAATGCTATTTATATTAACCCACAAGGTTGCACGCGTCTACACATACACGTGTGCTTACAAAAACAACTTTGTTTTTCTATAACATTTCCTGATTAACAACTACGTATTTTTATTATACAGATAAACAACATATTTATATATTGTGAAATACTACTTGATATATAGAATATTAATTATTATTCCAACACATAGCAACATTTTTTTATAAAAAATTTTATTAGTGAATAAGTCGGTGCATAAGTTTTTTCTAGCTAAATTATGTACTATAGTATTTGGATAATAATAATAGACATTTATAGATTTTTTATTACTAAATTGTACACATTTGATTACCAGAAATTGGGAGGGAGCTATGATTGATACTGTATATATACCTTATATATCTTATACTAAACATATGGGTTCATATTTTTTTTAACCTTAGTGTCCTAATAGGATATAGTATTATACTTTTGTTGATAATGTCTTATTTACATAATTTAATTTTGTACTCTACATTATAAGTGTATTCAACTGCCATAATGTTTTGAAAAACCAGGCATAATCTATTAAAATGAAAGTAAAACCAATAATAGTTGTGTGGATAAGAGCATTTTTATTTTTAAAAACATATCTAATTTTATTCTGTATAATATTATGTGTAAAACTGCTTATTGTGAAATATGTACATTAATTAATTGACGGCTAATATTGTAATATGAAACAGAATATAGACATGAAGTGCATTATAGAAATATTATTTTATTAAAATAACAGTAGTATTATATAATTTTAAATGAGTTATAATAGTATTAATTCCTCGTCTAAACGTCTTCGTTGTTCCTCGAGCAGTTGTACTGGATCGCTGTTATTCAAATTTATTTGATTCCATACACCTGAAATTCTTTTGTGTGTAATTCCATCCCACAGCGTAAAAGTCCTTTTATGTGTGTTAGTCCAAACTTGTTTTATGTACGATGTTGGTATTCGTGCACTCATGTATAATCCCACCATACGACTCATCCATAATAAATTGAAATCATTTTCTACATGCCGCAGTGGTCCACCTAAAATGTATAAAACATTTTTTTTTTTAATTTGCTAAAATTAGCTTGATAGTTACTACTTTTCTGTATGGCACAATACACAACAATTTTATTTGTCTTAAAATGAAGTCATAAAAAAATAATATAATATAGCATGGTGACCGTATTGTATACAGTCGTGCGATACGAGTATGTAATGTGTTAGTACCTAGTCATAACTTATACAAAAATAAATAAATATATATTTATTAAAATTTCAAAACCCAAACAGCTCCATACTATAATATTTACTTAATTCAACGTTACCACTCGCCTCCAAATATGCAATATTAGCAGTTTACCCCGATTAGCATGTAAACCATTATAGGGAGGGGAGACAATAGACACACGGGACAATGCCAGGTGCACCAATGCCCAGCTAGTTGACTTACTAGCATCTTCGGACCACAACCTAATTATTCTAAAGCCATTACTTATTATATCTCGTTACCTTACTATTTTATATTTCTTTTAACTTTACTCGTACTCGTGTGTCCGTTCAACTCCGCCATTACCTGGACTAACTAGGACTAGAATCCAGGTAGAGGTGTAATATATATGCACATAGCTTTACTTGTTTAATAAACCTGTTTTCGTTTCGTTGCACACTTGGGAGTTGAGTTATTTAGAAGTACGATCGCCTGTTAAGCTCCTCAGGCGATATAGCAAATATACAAAGGAGACTTTAGGGATATATAAGTATAGATACGGGCTAGCCATCCGTCCCGTCTTCGGGTCCACTAATTTAACCCTATCGACTAGTCGTTTCGGCCTAGCTTAACCAACTAGCCAAACAGACACGTTGCAGGATTTTTCAGTTTAAATTTTATTTTCAACGATTTTACACAATTGGTTCAATTTTTTTTATCAATTATCGTGAGTATACCTTACTTGACAAGTTGTGAACAATAACTGTTTATGTAGGTATTGGCATTTTGAGAAATAGGCTACCGTGTGATTCACATGGTATATATCATCAGTTATTTGTTTATATTGCAAAGGTTATTGTCTGTACAGTTGTTGAGTTTATTGTGTAGTCTTATCACAATCATGTACAACTTCCTTGTTGTTTTATTTTTAACCCGAAAATTCCATTTAGTATTCACGTTTGAACAAAATATAAGAGAACTATTGATATCTGAATTTCAAAGGCATCTCTTTGTTATTAACAGCAATGTCTTTCATTATGCTGTCAGTAATTCCATGTACACACAAAAAACAAAATACTATTTAACACATGGTCGTTATCTTTATATTTTTCACTGGACTTAACATGAAAACATTAGAGGTCCCGTTTTAGGTCAACACAAACCACTAATTCCATTGGTCATCAGAATCCCACAATTTGTATATTTTTATTATACAGAAGACCACAATATTGTATACCTACATGCATAAATTATTTCAAATGTTATAAAGTGAGGTTTTTGTATAATTTCGCACATCGGCGCATGTGTTTCAAAAGTAAATTACAATTTTGAAATATGATTTTTTATTAGATTATTGACTATTGCGTTCTTGCCTTACCGAAAACACAACTTTTTTAACTTCAGAAAAACGCTTGTGTTATTCGATTCGCGTTTCCATTTCCACTGTTTAAATTGTTGGAAATTTAGTAACCGTTTATATAAAAAAAAATTCGTGCACGTTTAAAAAACTGCAAAACATTATTTGCATACCCGTATCGAGCTTGAACTATAATAATGTTCAATGTGCTTAAAGCAGTATAAAGAGTATTAGGGTGTGTGCGATTAGGGTTGGTCGGATGTCTGTAACTAATTGTAGTCGATTTTTTTCCCGTAAATAGTAGGGATTGATAATTATTAGAAATAAATCAACATTTTTTTTTTCGGATACCCGTTGACTTTTTTAAGGTTTTTCCTTAATAAAATAAAGTTTGACTACAGACTTATGAGAAAGTCGTATTATATGTTATAGCTACACTTATTAGCTTCAGTCAAATTTCCAGACATTATGCCCTGACACTACAAAGGTGAAATAAAGAAAAAGTCTCCTTCCCTTTTGGACAAATGAAAGGAATTATTTACAATTTTTGCCCAAAAAAGAACCTTTCATGTACGAACTGCGCCTAATCGAAGAAAGCGGTTTAGTCGTTTGGAATTTAATATATCGAAGTTCCTAACTTGATTCTCCATTAATAAATCTCAAAAACCCTACTGCATGTACTTGTCGTATTTGAATAACACTTCCCAATGTAGGGTTTTAATTTTTAAAATACTATGTATGCATTTGTTGACAAATTTTCTAGGTTTCTATAGGATAGCAATTTTCAATTTTCTCTTTTAAAGGGCTCCAAAATGATGATATTACTTCTGAAAATTCAGTGATAATATCCCGAATTACATTTGAATTTATTTTAGACATACCAAATTTTAAATCGAAAATCAGCTTCCTAGGTAACCTAGACGATCTGTCAACAAATCCACACATACTTTAAAAATTAAATCCAATTTTGGGATGTATGTCTAATTTAGCACCGCTTGTTGGTCTAAAATGCATTATAACTAGTTGTACTCAAGTCACCTTAAATATAATTTATTTTAAGATAATTTTTAATACATTTAGTGAACATGCAAATAGAAGAACATAATTTTCTAAATAAATAGTTAACCGAATTAAGGATAGGTAATTAAAAGTTATTTTATAACCATATTTTGTTGCAATTTATTTTTTATTACAATTATAATTGTAAGACAAACGTCAGTTTGTCAGTATTCAATGCTTTAAACATATTAGACCTCGAATTTACTGTATGCAATAATATAATAATATTTCATTGTTTTTAGTGTCTTATTTTTAATAAAAAAAACTACAACTTTACTTATTTGGTATATATTTATTTTATTGACATAAAACAGAAATGGTTATTCAAAAAAATGTATTATGTGGAATATGTTATTGAAAAAATTCACCGACGGTTTGTTTCCCGTCAGCTTATGTATATGTATATTATTTTAAAATTTCCGATTTTATATTGTATGTAGAGACAATAATAAGATAAATTATTATATAATATGTAACGAGAAAACAGATGCCAGTGTTTTTCTAACATTAGGTTAAGATGTAGGTGCAACTAGTGGACGTCCAATTCGTAACTGTTGTTCGACTGTTTGTAGTGATTGGTTAAGGTTATCTAGGCTTATTTCGGACCATACGTTATCAATTTTTCTGTACCTCCTTTTGGTATCTATTGAATTCGTTAAGATGCATGTAAGGTCAGTTGGATTAACTTGAACTTCTTTTATGTAATAGTGTGGAAATTGTGTACTCATGTACAACCCTAGCAAACGACACTTGGGTAATAAAGAGGCTGGATTATCTACATGCTGCTCAGATACCTCTAAAAATTGTAAATTTTTTGAATTACTTACAAGTTACTATTTTTATTTATGGTGCAGGACACAATTATTTTATAATTTATTTGGTTAATCGTTACAAATTAAAATAGGTTGTGTCCTTTTGATCCTATTAAATATCTTTAAGAAATGTATATGTATATATATGTAAATATATTGAAAGCTTTCAAAAACCATACAACTCTATAGTAAAATTTACCTAATAAACGACGTCCGATTGCATTTTTTAAAGCTTGCACCACATAGTCTCTCCTTTCTTTTGCAAAGGCTATCAATGTTCCCCCATCTATAAAAATAGTTATTAAATGACAGTGTTGCAAAGAAATAATAAAAATAAACAATATTTTAGTCGCTCAAAGAATTGTGATACAACCAACTTTCTGTACAACCACTTATTAGTGTTCAAACTCATCTATAAAACGCATGTATTATTTCTATACTTGAAATCCCAAAGAATGTATTACATAGTTAACACTGTGGTCACAATCTATTTCTCCATCTTTCCTCAACAAAAAGCTTAGTTTATTTAAATAATTATTTGACATAAAACCTTAAATAAATTAAATAAATTAAGCAAATATCAATTCTAAAACAGGCGTTTAAGGCTATCAACTATTATTTAAAAAAAATGTATTATTACATATATTATATCTAGGCAATCCAAGTCCTGTAAGAAATACATAAAAAATCAAATCATTTTGCAGTTAATAAAATCCGGTTAATAAATTTTATATATGAAATTCACTCTACAACTGAGGTTAGTTAGATCATTATCAATTAATTAATAATATTATAGTATAAATATTAATTTACATCTTATAGCGATGTTTAAATTAACGGTTAGGTTGTAGCTGTATGACTTTAAGTTATAAATTGAGTTTTCTTAAAATGTATTAAAAATATGTAACTATTTTTTTTATATGATATTTACCTAATATATGGTGTATGAAATTTATCAATCCTTGCATGAAATAATTGGCTTCTAAAATTTAAAACAAAATCAAATTTAACGTACCTACATATTTTTTATGATTGAAACCGGTATGTCATATTTATAAATACCTAATAAATATGCAATAAGTAAAATAAATATAAAATATAAAAAGGGGTTTTTACTTTGCAATGGGTCATAAAATGGAATTTCTGAAATTAAAACAAAAATTGTGTGTGCATAAAGAATATCAAACAACTATGTGGAAGCGTTTCCATTAAGTGCAATGAAAATTATTACCCCGTATACTCGAGATAATTTCTTTTTGGTCTGAAATTAACAACACATTAATTAATGATTTTGCATTTCATTTTCTATTCTATTTTAAACAGGAAAACGAATTTAAAGGTAGAAAAAACATGTTTATTAATAACTCAGAAGAAATCATCTCCACTGTATATTTAACACAACAAGAAACTCTTTGGAAAATTCAATAGGAAAGAAATATTGGAAATATTTTCATAAAATTCAACAAAAACTATTACCCGGTACAGCGATCAATAAATTTATTTTGCCTGTAATTGACATTACATAAATTAATGATATTGAATTAGTTTTTCTATAATAAATGATTGCATTATATAATTATAAATTAGAAGACAAGGGTCAAAGTAGAAAAAACTATATTATACAGATAAGGGAATCCTTCTGAAATTAGATCGACGTGGTATCAGTATTTTTTGATAAAGATTAAAGCTTTTTTTTTAGATATCGTTGAAAAATATAGAATTTATAACACTCATCAATTGCACAAAGATAAATGTGAGATGCATGTTTTATATTTTTTTCTACTTTAATCTTTATTAGAATTATAATTATGATTACAGAAATCCTGGAAGCCCAGGACATTATTGATATCATTAACCATTCTCTCAATTACATACTCCAATCCATCTAGAATAAACAAATGAAGATTTTGGTTATACTAAAATATTAAATTAGGTACCATACAATCGCTTAGTAGAATATTAAACCCGACTTTGAGAAGTAGCCAAATTTAACTTAACTCCCTAGATTAGATTATAAGAAATCGATAATGTATATATTACATTGCTCTGTGCTACATATCTAGTGCACTTTTCTTAACTATTGATAAAACGTTTTTCAGCCGAGTCTGCCACCACGAAAGAGCATTTTCATGTCTTGTTGAAGTACCGAATAAATTTAGAGTAGTGGTGGAATTATAGATAATGATATAGTATATTAAGAAGCAGTAACAAGCTAGTATTAAATAGTTCTAATTTAAACGTTGAACGTGCAACATATCTCTTATCTCTTATCCCTATCTCCCACCTCCTATCTTCAGCCCCTATCTCCCAACCTTATCTTCTACTCCTTATCTCCTACCCCCTGTAACGCTTTTGTGAAGAACGCTTCTTTCGGTTATGTGCTAGAGCAAAGACATGAAAATGTCAAAAATAAAACATTTTATTTACTAATAACTTGATAATGTGGTACAAAAATTAAAGCTTCTATATTTATGTTGGTATATTATTTTAAATAATATCTTACTTATTCCAGATGTATGTCCTACAGTTATATTATTTAGAAAATAAGCCCTTCTGAACATTTGAGCTGTGATACGTAATTAAACAAATATACATAAAAATTAAACACATTGAATTTACAAAGACATCTGTTTATAGAATAAAAATGTTACTGACTTGTTTGATAAACTAAAACCTTATATTCAAATTCATCTGTAATAAATGGAAATATTGATTTAATTTTTAATTTTAAATAGTTTAATTTGATAACTGTGAAAATTAATTGATTACCAGCATTTTCTGACAAAACATCCACGAAGAAAAAAGATATTAATAAACAGAAGAGTTTCATTTTTATCTGCGAATAGTAATAAATAAAAAAACATTTTATGTTAGTCACAGTTGTCTCCGGTTGAGATGAGAAAGTTATGGTTTTGCGAGGCAATTTTAATATGTTATTTTTTTACTAGACCCACAATATCTCCTGGTCGGCTGACTTATTTTTTTTTGTATAGCAAAGTACAAATTTAATTTGAATGGTATTTTATCTAGCCAATATGGTGTTATTCCACACTACTGAAAATAAACACAAAAATAGTCTCTGTTAACTATTTAAATTGCATTGTATAATAAAGTTAGGTTACACTATTTAAAAAAGAAAATGGAGTGTAACTACATTTTGATACTAAAGTGACATTACACGCTTAGTTTTCGAGCGTCTAAACTTTACTACGCCTCTTAGTCAACCGATTACCTATAGGAGATTTCAATCGAAACTGTTCACGAGTTTATAGTGGAAAGAAAATAATGATTTAGAGAGAATGTCATATCCGTTTTAAAAAACTATCCTAAGAATTAAAGTTATTATCGTTATAACAAGTATTGAAATATCTTTTTAAATAATACACTAAGGTAATCAGACATTCTTTTTTGACACATTCTTTCTTAATCAGCAAAGATCCACCACCCATATGTAATAAATGCCAAGAAGACCTAACCATCCAACACATCATCCTAGACTGCCCAGACTTACAAAACATCCGAAGTACTCTATCAATACCCAACAACTTAGAAGAGGCTCTCCATGAAGACAACACCATAAAAATTTTAAATTTCCTTACAAAAATTAACATTGTAAACAATCTCTAACCAACACTTTTGTATTTCATTACTCTTATTTAAAAAAAATATTGTAACCTTTGATATTTAATTATTAATGTAACTTACACAAAACATGTACACAAGGCTAATAACCTCAGATGTCGAAGCCTCTTAAAATAAAAAAAATAAAAATAAAAATACACTAAGATTTAGTGAAAAAAGAAAATTGTTTAAATCGTTTTCATAATAGATCACAAAAGTAGCGCCTTGATAGTAAAGCAAAAATATATTTCGTCCAAGTCAAAATAGAAATATTCAGCAAAATAATTTAGATTTTCCACCATAACTCATAAATAATATCTTATTTTTGGAGAGTATTATTTTTTTTTGCATGTTTTTAATTTTGAATACAGTGAATATAGTTTCTATAAAAGATTTTTTTTCATCTTTATATTGTTGAAACTTATTGAGTTATGATGGAAAATGGTTTTGCTGAATATTGTTTCTTTGGCTTGAGGGGGAAAAACCCCCTTTTTTATAATTATTATTATTTTTTATAATCTTGGTTACGCAAAGAAATTTACTTTAGTGAAGTATTATGAAAGCGATTATAAAAAGTGACATTTTCTGGACACATTGTTTAGTACACTTCAAGCCAAATAACGGAAACGACTAAAATCTAGTACAGAATTTTCGCCAAAATGTGGATTGTGTAAAATGATGATTAAGAATCGATAAAAAAATAAACTAGCAATAAAAAATCTTTATTAGTGTTTTTTCTCGACTTTGTATCGTTAGGTTCATGCCTTTTTAGTTTTAGCATTATTAATTTTTTTAGAGTTTAATATAAATACTTACTTAAATTATTGTGGAGTTGGTAAGAGATTCTTGGACGGCAAGCACTTTGTTCAGCTTTTGAAACTCAGTGTACTACTTGCGACTTTACTTAGATTTTTACTTCGACCGAAATATTACAATGAAAACATTTTTTCGCAGTGTAGTGATCATGTTCATTTATGTTTTTATTTATGTTCATTTATTTTTTTTGTTCGTTTACACAAGTGGTTCAGTTTTTTTTTTTTTGTGATTTATCGTGTACGTCGTGTAGAAAGCGGAGTTTAGAAGCGTAGTCTAAGAGACGATGATACTTATAATAAGAGGTGGTGGAATGTATACAAGGGTATGCTATTCGAATATCCTACATCTTTTAAAGCTTATTATTACTATAGTGTTATTGTGATACAAGATTCGCAAATACCTTGATCTGGTCCAGTGACGGCGTGAAAAAAAGAGTTCCTTCTCAGGGCCGGACATAGAGGGGGTGTGGGAGGGTTTGACACCCCCCACTCGGAAAACTCAAGTATACACAATCGGCATATTCGGAACAAAAAGTCGGTAAATATCATAACCCCCATAAAATTATACAAATAACATATTTATTATTTTTATTTTATAAAAGTAGGTAGGTACATACTTTCTATTGGAATCTGGCGACTGAATAGTAAATAGTCGGCACACAGAGGACGACCATACGAAAATATAATTTTAGTTTTTAGTATAAAAAAAAACAATGCATTTTCGGTTATTCCCGATTTTAGCAGAAGTATTATTATTTGTTTATAATAACTGTGGTGTATATTATTTCAAACTATGTTCGGTCATGGGACCTATTGGTCTATTGTAAACAAACATTCTATCCCTCTATAAGTATGTGAAGTTCCAGCAGTCTGTGGCCTTTGGATACTTAGCACACAAAAGGTTGAAGAAGGAAGATGGAAGATTTGTAAATAAAGTTAATACTTTCAATCAAAAATAGGTATTATATGTATTACAATATAAGCATTAAGTTTATACACAGATAATGAAAATGAGTGCTTGTTGCAGGTATGTCATAATACACAGCCAAAACACTTCTGAATTGCTGTGGAGAAACGGCTGGTATTTACGCAAAATGCCCATCCGGTTCGAGTGGAAGGAGTCCTTCGAATCCCCGCCTCGGTGACCTTTTCTCAGTTGTGCAAGCGTTAATCCGGGTTGTTGGTGAATGGCCAAGCTGTCTTCTGCTAAGTGCTGAACATTGTCGGATAGATAATTTATACAATTTATGTGTTTGTTTGTGCGTTTTTACAATCTTTCAGTTACACAAAGTATATGATTTGCATAAATAAATTGGCTTTTACAATTTATAATTTGGATTTTACAATTTATGACGTTGTTTACATTTGGTTACATACAAAGTATAGAACAACTCCTTTAGGTCGTACACATATTAATATTCAAGGAGAAATCGGTCATGACGTAAACATGGCTGGACTTAGTAATCCATTACATTTCTCTCCCCAAAGAAAGATGTTTTGTACATTTATGGATAAAACATCTTTGACAATACTCAATTACATGTCTGTGTATCATTACATATCATTAAAATTACAATGGTTTTTTAAAAGTTATACATTATATAGTTATACATTTGAATACATAGTGATTATTATAGGTTAATAGTTAGTATTACATATAGTTTCTTTTTTTTTAAACATTCAAAATTAGTGGTTAGTATATAGGTTAGTATTACAATATATTTTATTTATTATTTTGTTTTCAATTACAATTACAATATTTCTTTTCATCAAAGTACAATACAATATATACTCTTTTTCAGAGTACAATATATTTTTTTTTAAATTGACATTATAATATTTTTAAAATACAATTACAATTTATTACCTTAGATAATATCTTCAGTTAATTTAGAATCTATGATAAAAGCATCTTTTCTCTTTATAATTTTGACTGTGTTATAATCTTATTAATTATTATTAATCACAATCTACCTGACGTCGGTGTGTGTCCTTGAGCTCGGTGTGAGAAAAGACAAGTCCTGTCTTTCCTTGAACCATGGGGAACAACACTTTCGTCTTCATTAAATGAGGTACGAGCAATTTTTTTTAAATAAATAAGGAAGGGTGGACTTAATCAAGACAGGGCCATACCAGTTCGGTGTGAAGAGAGACAAGTCCTGTCCCCCTTAGAACTTTTTAGGCATAGCCTAGTCTATGATTTCGTCCACTTCATAATCCATATTAGGTAGTTCCCCCGTAATTTGTGATATTAAATAGTTTCTGTCTTGGACAGCTATGACTATAGCCATGCTAATGTTATAGGGTCGTAAATTACTAAAACGATCTCTAAATGTAGTTTTAACTTGTTTTTCGACACGTTTAAGAAAACTATTGGGAAAATTGACTGTATTAGCCTCTACTAATATATCCCAAAGTGTTCGTCTTCTTTTATAAATAGTGCAGTTTTCAAATGCTATTCTCAGTACCCTAGTAAAATACTTTGCTCTATCTGTCGCATTTTCATGTTCAAAAATTGGATCTAATAGGTTATCCCCCTCTATGGCGGCGATAACGAGTGCCATTGAGATGTTGTATGGTCGTAAGGACCCATAAAGTTCCCTCATTAAATTTGCAATATCTTTTTCAATGCTTTTCAAATACTGTTTATCAAATTTTATAATTAATTCTGAATTTACTTCAGTTATTATGGTATTCAATGTGTGTCTGGGTGCAAGATGGTTAGTGCAATTGTTTAAAGCAAGATTTATGATTTTTTTCATAAAGACTACACGGGGATTGCTCGTACTCATTATGTCTAATGTATTAATGCTAATGTAGGTAGGAAAGTTTTCCATTCACCTAGAACATTAAAACATAATTTTTTTTTAGAATTTAAATGTTAGTATTACTTATGCTACTTATTTCGTAATGTTAGTTATGTTTTTTTTTCTTTTTTTGTTTTTCTTTTTCCTTAAGCTAGGCATGTCTTTAATTAACCTATAAAACTTAATCGGCCTTAACTTTCTAATAATGTAGTTCAAAACACAGCGAGAAGCAATCGTGTCAAAAACAGGATCATGAAAGTTCATATGGGGGGAGTGTGTTTCTATACACGTAAAGTCGTGAGCTTCCCGCAGGTTCAGCTCCCTACCCCCTTTTTTAACCTCCCCTAAAAACTCATCGTAATAGATTTTTCCGGTCACCATGTTTATCAACTTTAAATTGAACCGCCCGTCATTGTTGTTATCCCAGGCGGTCATATTCAAATATTTATAGACATTTTTTATTCCAATTTGCTGCAATATTTTATAATCATGGTTACCGTTCCAAAACACTACGATGGGTTTTCTTGAACCTTTGTGGATATACTTTGAGATGGAGGATAAATTCATCGTCGAGGGCCCCTTTTGAC